ATTTAGTCTTTTGATGAATGGGTTCCTTAGACCTTGTTTTACCTGTTTCAAAGTCCCACGAAGCCCACTCAGGTATAAAACTTTCATTGCTCCAGGCCTCCTTTAATTTCCATTGTAAATAATTATCTAGTTTCTACATGTTATAGTTTCCAGACCATGCTCTCCCTCCTCACACAATATACCAAAGGTTATTTTCATAATATTCTTAAACATTGCTCTCTCTCACATGTGCTGCTTCCAAGACTTGTTTCTGAGATTCTTCTCCAGAATATTTAAGTTAAGAAAAGCAAGTGATCTCACTAGGGTCCCAGGAGGACAGGGTTTACAAGCATAAATCTGCCTCGAGTTCAGTCTTTCCATCTTATTCTGCACATCGACAGATCTCCATGAAACTCAAGTGGACAGGAATTTTGATGACCATAGTCAAATTGTGGCACGACTAACAATAATTTTCAGGTACTACTCCAAGAAAAAGGTAAAAGAGGGAGGGAAAAGACTAAAACATCATGGAATATAGGGACACAAAGATAAAGAGGTTCTCAAATATTTTTTCTGATGCAAAAATCATTAACTCTTCATGAAGTCACAGTTGGGATCTGTTATTTTTAGACATTCTTTAAAAAATGATCTTTTCTACAATTTATTCCTGGATAGGTGGTGTTTTACTTGTAGTTATTGTTAATACAGTTGGTGGCTCTTGCTGGAAATTGTTCCTGATAACTCAGACAAAACCCTATCATGGTGCCTAAAGCTCCTCTAACAAAAATCACCACAAAAAAATCCATTGCCATCAGATTGATTCATACTCCCAGAAACACTACAGTACAGTGTAGAAATGCTCATAGGGTTTCCAAGACTGCAATCTTTACAGAAACAGACTGCTGCATCTTTCTTCTAAAGATGGTGGTTTTAACCTGCTGATCTGTCAGTTAGCAACCGAGAGCTTAACCACTGTGTCACCAGAGTTCCTACAAAAGCCTTCTAATACCATCATTCACATGGAAGATTTTCAACTACAGTATTCCTGATAGATGATCATTTCATTTCTACCTAAAAAATCCCCACTCATAGTGAGTTTCCGGTTTTACAATACTGTCTTTTTCTTTGTGGACAGTTTTTTGTGTGTGTGTGATAAAGATGTGTCTTAAATTTGCTTGTTCTTCTTTTAGGTGCCATAGAGCCAGTTCAACTCATAGAGAAACTGTATAGGATTTGTCACAGTGGCTGATGGGATTGACTATTGACCTGGCAATTAGCAGTCCAATTTACAACGCCATAATTAACCTTATAAGATTTGAAGTAAAAATTGCCATGAGCAGCAAATATTACTTCTTATATGAATTCAATACTGTTAATTACCTATCAGTGTTTTGCAAGTGAAAAACATAAATCTAAAATAATATTATAGATCACTGGGTGCATGCCTCATTTAATCTTTGATATTTATAAATATTTGATATTACAGCACCCTGGTGTGGTGCTGAAGTATAAGCACTGGACAAGTAACAACAAGGTGAGCAATTCAAATCCACAAGTCATTCTTAGAAACCATTTTCAGGGTTGCTGTGAGTCAGACACAGTGACAACAACAATGGGCTCAAACATAACAACAATTGTGAAGATGACGTAGTTCTGGGCAATGTTTTGTTCATTCAGCTGTGCATAGGGTTGCTCTGAGTTGGAACTGACTTGACTGTACCTGACAACTGACAGCAATGAATCAGAAACAAGTTGATGGCCTACAATAACAGCATGTTTCATTTAACCTTTGATATTTATAGAAAATGAAGAAAACTTTCCATTCTTGAGCAGTAGTACATTCCAAGAAAGATGCTAGGGGCATTGCATGCATTGCATGCAAACACAACTCTTGCAAGGTATGTTTTATCCAACTTTGTCAGATAAGGAAACTGAAGAATAAAATTTTAAATGTTAATCAGGTGTTACATGATATGTGTGAGGGTTCAGACTCTATCTCAGATATGTCTTACACAAAAGCCCTTGTTATTTTCACCATGCCAAGTTACCATCCTGATGATCCCAGCCCCCATCATTCAGCTGCAGTGTTAAATCAAATGTGTTTAAAATACGAAAGATCTAGATAAGAACAACTCAATGTATCTTATATAAATACTACAGAGGCATTTTATCCGTTAAGTCACTCTATTTGAGGAACTTAAACATTTATAGAATATTAATTAGTAAAATCTCCTTTTCATAGTTGTATAATTCCAATTTTGGGTTTGTGTTTTTGTTTAAAGAGGCTGGAAATATAGGTTAAGATAAAAACATAATTTCTTAGAAAAAAACATAAAAACAGTGCATTAGAATAAAAAAATACACCATGAAAATATTAGTTTCAGATATGAAACTAATTTAATACATATATAAGTATTATCATTCAGTGCCACCAAAACCTTGGGAATAAAGTTGTTCTGTAGGATAAACACTGGAATATGAATCACAAAGTCAAGCCCACCAGTCACTCCTCAGATGAAAGATGAGGCTTTCTGTCCTTGCAAAGATTTACAACCTTGGAAAACATATATAGGGTCAGTATGAGTCAGAACGGGCTCAACGGTAGTTAACAATAACAAATAATATGTAAGTAAAAAGACTAAAAATCCAATTTCATCAACAACTAAAGCAAGAGGTGATCATTGTTGCTTTTGTTTTTGTTGTGTGCCATTGAGGCCATTCCAAATTATACTGTACTGTCAAGTGCCATTGAGTCCGTTCCGACCCATAGTGACCCTGTGTAGGGTTTCCAAGGAGTAGCTGGTGAGCTTGAACCACCAACCTTGCAGCTCAAACCGATTTTGCAGTCCAGCATATTAACCAACAACGCCATACCAGGACTTCAACTTATAGCAACCCAGTAATGGCAGAGTGAAGCAGCCCATTGGGTTTCTTTGACTGGTATCTATTAAGAAGCCCTAGTGGCATACAGTACTAAGCATTGGGTTGCTAACAACAATGTCAGCAATTCAAATTCACCTTTCTGTTCCCATTAAGATTTACAGGTACAAAAACTCTAGGCAGCAGATCTACTCTGCCCCATAGAGTCGCTATCAGTTGGAATAGACTAGATGACAGAGGATTAATCTTTGTGAAAAGAACCCTGCTGGTGCAGTGGTTAAGCATTTGGATGCTAACCCATAGGTCTGCAGTTCCAATGCACCAGCTGCTCTGCAGGAGAAATATGTGGGAGTTTGCTTCTGTAAAGATTATAACCTTAGATACCCTATGAAGCAACTCTACTCTATCCTATGGGATCATTATGAATTAAAATAGACTCAGTTGAAATGGGTTGCTTATATTTTAATCTCTAAGGGGGCAGGATGCCAGGTCTTTTCTATCACAGGAGTATCCCACAATATAAATATAAGCATTATGCAGTGGACTCTTTCTAACTAAATCTGAAATCTAATCTTTTTTGTGATATTTAATTATAATCATATCATGAATAAATAGGTATTATTTCTATAACATTATTTTAAATTTCCTTTAGTATAAATTTATTTGGTTTCTACTCTAACTACATTGAATAAATATACTCTATAATCTATGCTAAATTGCACATTCTACCAAGTATTACTATTCACAGTAATAATGTATGTTAAAATATTTAACAGAGTAAATCATTTTCAGCAGAAATATTAACATCAAACTACCTGCCATGTCCCCCATATAAAAGCATGTAAACATAAACAAAAGGCCATTAACTTACCATTACCTTTATCTACTCTTCTACCAGGGTTTATCGAATACTCTGAAACTTTAATTCTAAATTACTTTTTGCTGATTCATTATTAGGTTCTAATTCTCTCAACTGATAACTCTTTATTTTGGTTTGTTTTTACTGTCACACTCTTCTATTATAAGAACAGCAGACTTTCTAGGAACATTGTCAAAATCATTAATGTGGAGCTAAGCACCTCAGAGGAACTCTGTTGGCACAGTGCATAAAGCATTAGACTGCTAAACACAAGTATGGCAAACTGCGAAACACAAGTAGCTCAAACCCATGAGTTGCTCTGAGGGAGAAAGATAAGATAGTCTGTTCCAATAAAGATATACAGTCTCAGAATCCCTAAGGAGCAGGGTTTTATATTATAGGTTCCATATTAGAGAGTTTCTATGAATCGGTATTGACTTAATGGCAGTAGATTTGTTTTTTTGTTTGTTTATTTGTTTTGGTTTAAGCACCTCAGGAAATCATCTAAAACACCAAGGTCAATTTCAGGATCTGAGGACCGAGGGATGATTAAATTCAGTTTCCTTGTCTTGAGAAAAACCTTGCTTTTTTGGCTTGTGCATGCTTGCCCTTGTAATGTTGAGAACTCTGGATCTCATACCAGATCTTGGTGTCCAAGGGGGAAAGAAAGAAAGAAAGGGAAAA